CATTGTTTGTAACCCAAGAAGAATCAAACAGGGACCAGTAAAGGGATATAGGGAGAAAATATTGTTGAACAAAAGCTCCTATTACTGAGAAATCAGAACAGAAGTGACTCAATCCCCTTATCTGGAGGGAGAGGACTTTCAGTTTGCTTGTATGTGTGTGTGTGTGTGTGTGTGTTGGAGATTGGAGTGGGCCGCCCAGTTACATTATCTCATGGTGAAAGGGAGTGGAGAAAATGTAACCAACAATGTATCCCGGAGGTGCGGAGAGGAATCAGTGATCTCGACCGAAATCTGACTACACACACACACACACACACAGACACACACACGCATGTTCTGACGTTCTGGCTGACCCTCATACCCAGTCCGTTGTCTCTGACACTGAAAAAAAAACACCAGCCGATTCCTGTTTGTCTCGTTGATCGTACTAAGTCATCCAACTACCCAGACAGGATTATTATTAGATTTCCCTATTATAATCTGACCAGGAACGTAATTACTTCACCTATCGGTGTCCATACACCTGTTTGAGCGGATACAAGTCTCTCACTGTTCCCTTTATTACTAAAGCATTCTCAGTTACTATCTTTCAAATGTTTCTATATGCTCTCTGAAATCCTCAGTATCGTTGGGGGTAGGTGTCTAGGGTTGCGACTGGTCACCTTTCCCTTTCCCATGCGAAATTCTCTCATACGACCAAGCGTCTCGAATAGCCTCTGCTGAGGAAGCCCTACTCACTGTCTTCACGTAATTGAGATGTTTTCCCACCAAAACCGACATCCGGGGCTATAACCGGTTTTGGGGGACCACTGGTAGTTTACCTATCGGAGTTGTCCAAAAATCCTGATTCCAAACCAAGTGGGAGGAGAGGTACAATTACATACCTTCCTGGTTGTGGCAGTGGTTACCGACTCGATTGGGCATCGAGGTGTATTGGGCACCTTGGACGTCTGATCCCGTCCAAAAGGCGTATGATCCAATGAATTGGACATCTGCCCCAATGGTTTGCGGTCATCGCACACCGCCTCGCATCGTTGTGAGTCAGGCGTTAGCTATCCAAAGGCTCCGGTTGTGGATTCCTCAAGAAAATTTACCTCCTTTGGCCTGGACAATCGGGTAGTATTCAGCCCACATGCGAATCGTGGAACGTTTTTATTTTTGATAAAGATGATTGATTGTACCACGATTTGTTTAAGCACGTAGTCTGGTGTCAGACGTATGTGAAACATATACATGTAAATATACTCTCGTTTACTAATTGAACTTTGAACTTGAAGTACGCTGGTCGTTGCTCGTCTTAGTGCAGCTCTTAGGAGCACTAGCTTCTGCGACAGATATCATCTCAATCTCGTAGTTTGTGTACCAAACTGGACGAAGTGTGTTGCAGTTTTGTTCACGCTTGACTATCGATTTTGAGTTTCTTTTACCAGGCTTTTCTTCAAATAGTAGTGGATGGTTCCAGCTTAGAATAAGATTTCTATTTCAGGTATATGGATTGACCTTTGTCCGTATCTGATTTTAAATAACCCCATTGTGTTCATGAAACCCTAAACAAAGTCTTGTGTCTTTTGGTATCATGCCCTGGCAATGGTTGACCAAATTGTTAGAACTCGTTCGAGTTAATTTGGCAGAACACAGTGTCAAAGATACATTTACTTTAGTGAACGAAAATCTTGACATAAACTTGGTCGATCAAACAATACTCTCGCTGGACGTCAGCTCGTTGTTCACAAATGTTCCCATCAGCGAAACGATTGAAAACTGTGCAATTATGTACAAATCAATAGTGTAGAGCTCGGCATCCCTTTGGGTGACTTAAAACAACTGCTTTATTTCTGCACGTATTGTGTTCAGTACAAGTTTAACGATGAAATCTATCGACAAAAGGATTGCGTGGCCATGGGGTCTCCGCTGGGACGGCTTTTCGGGGATTTATTCATAGTGAAACTTGAAAACACTCAATTACAGTCATCCATCGAAGACTGAGTACTATAGACATGGCACATAGATTATATTTATTGTGTCTTCAATGTAACGTCGAACAAAACGGAACTATTAAAACGGTTCAACAGTTCGCATCCCAACAAAACATTTACTTCAGAAATGGAGTGTAAGAACAAATGGCTGTTTCTAGATGTCTGCATCACTCGTCGATCACTTATTCCGGTGAAGCGTTCCGTGCATTGGAAAGACCAATACATTCATTTGCGAAGCTTTGTTAGTTAAGTTATAAAAGGAACTTGGTTCGTTGCCTAGCGGATAGAGCAAGAAAGATCTGCAGGGAGGACACACTAGAAAATAAGCTCCGTGCTATATGATCTATCTTTGCACTTAACGGGTTTCCCGGAGCGTTTAGTCAACAAGATGATTCAATGCAAAACACCGAGGTTAAGAAAAAATCCGTGTACGTTTCTTTGCCGTTCACAGGGGACACATCAGCTGAGATCATACAAAGAAGACTATCCGATGCAATCGATAAGACTTTCTATTCATTCTAGCATCGTGTGTTGTTCACGTCCAAGCCAGTTGTGTGTTTGCGACTGAAGGACAAAGTTCCAGACTCTGCGGTCTCATTCTGTGCATACTCATTTACTTGTTGCTGTGGAACAACGTACATAGGCCGCACGGTCAGGCGGTTGTCTGAAGAGATTCGTGAATACCACCCTGTGTGGCAGAACACCAGAACGATGAAGTCACCCACCAATATAATGGTTTCACACCTCGCTGAAGCAAATCACACCGTGGACGTGTCCCAGGCTTTCCGACCCCTGTATAAAGTTCTAAGGCGATTATTGAGACAGGTTCGCTGTCGGATACTGCTTACAGCAGAAGCAGTAGGCGATCGTCTGCACAACTCCCCTCTGTTTTTCCAAAAACAATTTGTGCAAGCGCTAAAGCTTCCCTGACCCAACCCACGCGCACACACATACAGAGTAATATCACTAGTAATATCGATGATCGGATGACAAACAAATATGTGATCGTGGTGATTCCGATTTCCGGTCTCACGATAAAGTCGTTTCTATAGTAATTTGTGATTTTATTTTCCCAAGACAATTCGATTCCCAAGTAGTGATATATATAGATTTATATATTGATATGCCTTGGCATGAATATGAATCTCTGAAAACGATCTTGTTCACCACTCTGTTGTTTTGTTTGAAATGTGCTCTGTGGGACTATTTCGACCAGTGAAGGCACCCCAAACCTTAGTTCGAAATTCATACCATACTGGGCACTGCATTTTTCTTCATATTATATTTACTGTTGTTCTCATCAATGACTCTGTTATGATCTAATTGTTGCTCACACGCATATCAAATATGGTGTCCACTGACTACTGACTTTCCGGTCGACCAGTAACCGATTAACATATCATTTCTGATGCATCCTGTCACTGTATATCTCTCTTCAATGTTATACTTCCAAGTCAATTACACTTAATTAGTTTGTTTGTTGACCCACTCTTGAGTATGTAACTTTCCCCAACTGCTGTTAGCTGTTACTATGTAACGCGGATCCTTTAAATTCAGCCGTGCCGTTTAGCTCGCATTACACATTTTTCTTGGATTTATTCATCATCTATCGCATCTTGATAAATTTCAAGGACATCAGTGCTATCTTACACGAGCACGTTTGTAAAATTGTTATGCGCAAATGCACATTTTGCGAAGTATGCCTCAAAAAACCCATGTTAGCCGACCATGACAGGGTTCGCAATGAATCTACTTTTCACCCAAATGGACTTCTACACCAAAACATTTGACCTGTTGCTATGCTAATGCCCAAGGTTTCCGCAGTAAGTTCTCCGAACTGGTGTTGCGTTTCCAATCCATTCAGTGGGATATCATTGCTGTTACAGAAACTTGGTTGACGGATGACATTCTCGACTCTGAGTTGGGCCTACCGGGTATGTCTCTTCTCAGACGCGATCGTCCAACATGCGAGGGTGGTGTTCTACTTTATCATCGAGGCGATCTCCAGTGCGATACAGTTGATCCTGCTGTTACAGCCCAAGAAAAAATTTGATGTAGACCGAAACTGTCGAAGCTCAACGATTGTCTTGTTGGAGTGGTCTATTGTTCTCCCTCATCCATGAAGTCAGCAAACGATACATTTTTGCGAGCCATGTCACAGGTCTTATCTGCCAAATTTAGTCATTGGTCGTAATGGGCTCCCCGGTATGTGCAATTTTGGCAATCCGTACATTTTTGCGATTTGTGAACACCGAGGTCTCAGTTTGACGAACGTGTTTGTGTTGATCACACCTTTCTTCCAGAATCTCTTTAACATAGCATAGACTGTTTTTTTTCGAAGTTTCAGTTCTGTCTTTTGCTTTTGGATCAAGTTGAAAACGAGTGTGATCCATAAGTATTCCCTGCATCTTTTCGACATAATCCTCCTTATTGAGAATGACGACTCCAGAACCTTTATCTGGCTTCATAAGTTCACTTCAGTTCTTTTATGGCGTTAATGTGATCTTTTGATAGCAGGTCATGATGGCGAGAATACAATCGATTTTCAACTGACAGCACCTGAATAAATATAGACAATTGCGAAACCACTGTAGACAGTTGGTGCGGGAAGATAAGCTGAGGTACCCAGAAACGCTTTCACATAAGATCATTTCCAACCCGTCAATACTATACAAACATGTTAATATGTCAAGGAAAGTAACATATGGGATACCTGCACTTAGCTGCCTTGGGAAGGTCGCCAGTAACACCCAGGAAGCAGCTGCGATGCTGAAGAACCAATATGCCCAAGTCTTCGACACNGAACCAATATGCCCAAGTCTTCGACACACCCAACAACGCGAGACTGCGGCTACCCCGTCGGATACTCTTTATTCCAAATCCATCACTGACTACCCTCACGTTTGATGCCAACAGAGTGAAATCAAAGCTTCTGGGTCTATGTAAGTAATCGGCTCTAGGTGCAGACAATCTGCATTCCCAACCGCCTACTGCGTTAGCGGATCACATATCTGAGCCTGTAGCTCTTCTTTTCCAAAGGATGTTTGACGCAACAGTGCTGCCCCAGTCATGGAAACAAGGCATAATTTCTCCAATTTACAAAGGCGGCCGTCGTAGTGATCCTGCTAACTGCCGCCAGTGACACTCCTAACCGTTCTATCCAAAGTCATGGAATAAATCGTACCGGATTTCTTGATGGAATATCTAGAGAAATACGACATTCTTTCTACAGCTTAGTATGGATTCCGTCAAAAGAGATCATGTACTACCAATCTGCTCCTGGCCTGCGATGAATGAACAGATACAGTAGACGAAGGCAATGCAGTTGATTTGGTTTACCTGGACTTCTTCAAAGCGTTCGATCGGGTGAACCACGAAATACTGCTCTGTAAACTGTACAACATTGGTATCAGAGACCTTGCGCGTGATTGGATTGCTGCGTTTCCCCAACAACGGACCATACCGGTTCGAGTCTCTAATACACTGTCCGCCCTTATCGCCGAGTCGTAACCCCGGAGGCAAGTGTTCAGAGGCACGAGGTGTGATGCTCGCGCTGAGCCCTCGAAGATGGATTGTGCTATATCGTATTTACGCAAAATGAAACCTGGCCTAACGAGCTTTCTGGTGGTCGAGTGGATGATGTTCTTACTTTCTGTCTGTGAGGTCCCGGGGTCGATCTTGAGTTCAGGCAATGGATCCGCACTGCTAATGAAACCCAATCAGGTCTAAACCGTTTTTCGGTGATTACCAGGTTTTTAGTTCACGCTTCATTTGCTTTATGCACGACAAAATTTACCGTATAGATAAACCAAAAAACATGTATTGAGAACTAATACTGAATGGAGGGCCAAAACATAGAAATCGGTTCATTAGAACCAACCATCCTTCGAACTTCAACTTCACGTACAATTCTCAGCTCTTCCAGCCAACCATAATCACGGAATCATCAGACTCGAGTTTCACTCTTATCAGAGCTCATCGTCAGTAATGCTCATCCACCGTCCAACCGTACATGTGAAGAGCGGAGGAATATGCGTGAAGGTAAAGTCTGAAGGCTGGTCAGTCCCAGTCAATCAATATCAATTATCCACAACACTTCTCACAAATAACCGTTACTGCTTATTTTCGATAATCGGTCTTCTTTTATCTTAACGGGTTTTCCTAACCGTCTTGATTCTCGAACAAATTTGTTGCAAATAAGCTGGAACTTTTCTTCTACCTCCCGTGAATTGTTTTCATGAGGTGTAGAACCACTGGTTTGAACAAATATACCGAGACTAATAACTCGTAGTATGTATCTGGAACGGATTCTTTGCACGCGTATGTTGATGTTGTGCAGTCACACAGCTAAAGAAATGGTAAAACGCGCTCACATCCATACTCTTGACTATCATTACAAATGGCAGTTAGTATTGTTGATACTGCTCAGGAATGGTGATTATGAATGGCTAGGGTCTCAACATATTTGAAGTACTTAATAATGATGATCATGTTCATTGTGATGATGATTCGGATGATGATGATGGTGATAATGATAATAGTGATGGTCTGCACAACCATGAAACCGTCATCCGGAATAAAATATTTTCTTTCCCAAACTTGATTGCACGATCACTGGTTTGAGTTACATGAGTTTATCTATCAATGCTATCAAATTTCGTGCAGTTAAAACCCGCTTCCACGGCTCTTTCACTACGTCAGATTGCAAACCTTCGGGCTCAGGTTTTCCTTACGGGGAGCACTAAAAACAGCTTCTGCTGAGACGGGATGAGCTAACCGAGTGTGCAATGCAGGAGCGAAACACATTTAGAGCAGCTTCTGTTAGACCTCCCACGGAATGCCGAACGCATAGAGTATGATCTGCAAATGATGTTAGTATGTGTGGATTTTTGTTGCAGCATTTAGTCGATGTGCAACCCTCGGGGCTATATTTTGTTCAGTTGGCACTGCCAGAAGTTTATGCACGAAGAAGCCAAAAAGTAATTAGCCAGATTTGAATGTAACAAGTACTTTTTACCAAGCCTGAATTAAGTTAACCGATAACTTTTAACAGATGGTGAAGCATGTGACATGCAATTTAAGAGCATCACAACAAACGGGCGACTGACAAAAACAAAACAAGTTTACCCCCAGAGACCCAGACAAAGTTTGTCCTTCGCATAGTTAAATGTGAAAAATAAGAGTATAACAACAATCGAAACAGCAGCAACTATATGGTAGTTACAAAAACCTGTTTGATATCGTTTCCGAATCTAAACAAATCTGACCCTGGCGAACAGTAAAATCAAACTTTCGTCGAAATGGAATCAAGCATCCGTAAATTCAGTCTGATGGGATTAATGGATCTAGGTTACTGGAGATTAGTTCTGGATTTTGAGGTAATCGAAACCAATTTAGTCATTGTTCGATCCTGAGGTTTTCCAAGGATCAGATATATTTAGACTTGTGCAACTATGTCACATAAATTTTGCTATATCGACCAAATGGTTGGTTGTTTTGTTCACTTTTTTCGTTTTGTTATTTTATTTCATAGTCAGAAGTGCGAAATCTTCATTGCTGCTCATGCGATTTAGCACTCACATGTTGTTATTATTATGTGCTCATCGAGTTTGAATCGATTTGTTTTTACTGGAAAACGCCTAGTTGATTTGAGTGATTTCTGACAGATCTGTCTCTTTCACGAACAGTTCATTCTGGTCTATGCTCATCAAATAACAATCGTTGTAGTGGGGCTCTAGAGAGAAGAACTTACACGGAAGATCGATTAAGTGTTGCAAGTAATTGGATGCGAGCTAATAGGCACTAAGACCATCTATGGAATGACCAACATTTTTGATCATATTTAAAAACGAAACGGATCAAGATCACAACCCTTTCATTATCTGATTATCTCAGTGGCGACACCCATTTCTTCCGTGTGAGTGTTTGTGGGTTTGAATCCCGAATATTTCGCTATTTGAGCGAATGTTGATAGGTTTCTTTTAGATAAATTGTTCAGTTTGAAACTGTACACGTGTGTGGTTGACTGAATGAACTGTGGGGACATGAAGTGTGAACAACGGTCCGTCTGTTTGTCTTCATTATAGATGTATCGAATTTCCTAACCCTACTTTCAAGCATCTTTCAAGGATCTATTCAGAAAGCTCTGTTCTGTACAGGTGGATTCTAAAACTTGTTGTTTGAACGTCTCTGCTTTCAGCGGCTAGTGATTCTGATTAGTAGATCAAATATGTGTGCTTGAGAAATGAGAGCTAGTAAATAAAGAGAGGAAAGTATGATGGTAGGTATCTTAAATATTTTTGACCCACAAAACCGATAGATATACCATACCGGTAGGTTACTTCCATTGCTACATATAGGCCTTTGAATCGGGGCATATCGCTTCAAACTGACTGGGGTAAAGATTGCACGTGACGTACTAGGATACAATATTGGCTTTTTGTACTTTATCCGATCGACCGTATGCGGGTGAATAGACCGTGGCTTAAATCACATCTGCGGCAGTCTCCAATTTACGGGTATCAACAGATGAGACGTAGCATGAAAAGAGATCAAATTGTGTAGCGCTTTGGATTGAAACCAAGATCGGAGAATTAAATGCACATTCCAAATAAATTTAGCATCAAATCCAGTTTGCATGTAGTACGAGACACAGGGAAGGTTCCACGTGGAACTCTCTACTTCATCTGAGTCCTCTCGTTATCATAATCACCACTTCCACAAGGAGGCCTCTTATCAGGTCCATGAAAACCTAGTAGAAAAGATTAGCAATCAGTTTGTTTGCCTTCACTTAGTTACTCTAGGATTCTACGCAAATCAGTACCAAAATCGGTTGCGTAAGGATTTCCATGTGTGGATTCACTGTCCTATGAAGAGATTTTCAAGTCATCCGGCCCCTGATGGTTGTTGAATCTGACATCTGAGCGAATTTACCTCAAACTGTCTCTGGACTAAATAAATACAACCGTCTAAGTCAGTTTCATTCGATCGCACTCTTGGATGGTCGAAACCATTTTGCAATGCAAATGATCTTTGAAATGAACTGTTTCAAAA